CGAGATTCTGAAAAATTCGTATATGATGGGTTGCTGCACATTATGTATGTGGATGTCCATTTTCTTCTTGGAAAGATACCCAATAAAATCTAATTACGATCTTTCCTCAAATTTTCACTTTAGTCTTCCAAGTTACTTCTTTCCATGAGACCTCCCTTCCAACATTCATTCATTACTCCTGTACTTTTCTTATCTCTTCCTTCTGTGCGCATGCCCAGTTAATTATCTTCTTGACTTAATTATTTGAATAGTAACTTACTAAGGAAATAACGTAAATAAAAAGATTATCGCTCTGTAATTTTACCCATTCTGAGAGCAGAGTCCAGACATTTCATGTGATAATCAGTTTACAGCAATTTCGGTGTAAGCAATGTCTTTGCTTCACAGTAGACCAATTTCCTCAATTACACAAAGCAAACTGAAAGTGTTTTGAGAGATCTCTCTTCTGGGAGAGGCTGTGTTTGCCACCTGCTTTCACGCAGGCTTCTTGCTTGAATTATTCTTCGACCCTGAAGTTGGAGGCGAAATGTTCCTGCGAAATGTCGGTTGACTCTCAGCGAACTACACGGCGTTATAACCAAGAAGATAGAATTCTTCATAACCACTGATGTGAGAGCCTCTAATGAAAGTACTTTGTTTTATGGATATCCAGTTTGTTTCGGGTAATAGATGAAAAGATGATAGTTGGTAGTGTTTCTGAATGTACAGTAATGCTGGAATTGTCAAGGTGTCCCAAGCCCGAACACCTGTTATTAATTTGATAGCCAAAGTACTGATGATTACCACTAAGCGGAACTCTTTACCTCAGCTCAACGTCATCAGTGTCATTCTAACACCCTGTAGAATATGTACCAAACATTCTTTATCCGGGGTTAAAACTGCAGGAGCATGAAGCAGATCACTTGCCTCCATTTATTACTGAATTTACGAATATTACATTTGTAACACCATAGTGTGATTCATAGGAGTCAGAACAACAGTTGTTACCTTCCGTTGTCAAAGAATTCAACTGCTTGAAACAATGTGTAAATATCGCTCCAGAAACTTAAAGAGCTACATATTAACGTGTCCTTGTTCCTTTTTAGAGCTTAAGGCTTATGACTTCTTCCATTATTATCATAAATTTTTTCACCTCTTTCTTCTTCTTCTTCTTCTTCTTCGCCGTCGCCGCCGTATTCTTCTTCTTCTTCCAAAAATGACATTTCCTTTTAGAACTAAATTTAGAGTGTTATCTCTGAGAAACTGTCTTCTCTAAATCTTTGCACATCGTGCATCGTGTTCCTGAAATTCTTGTCCCTATTTAATTTTAGCTCAATTCTAATTCGATCTTTGAATATGGTGTAAGTGCTTGAAAATCGCTTATTGTCTCTTGAAAATGCATTTCTCCTTGACATTTTAATATATTTGTGATATTTGACATACGTGACAGAATCTAATTTATTTCTGGTAAACTGTATGATTATAATTGACATTTAACTTCAATTCTGACATCAGCTTATAAATGAATAAGAGATAGTACCGGATAGTATTCTCTCTTTAACTCTCCCCACCACTGCACTTTTCTCCGTGTTCACCTGATCTCTTCCCCCCTCTACTCTTATCCCATTGAAAATACTGGTTGACTTCATCAGCTCTTATGGCACCTTATAAGTTCACTATACAAAAAAAAGTTAAACTATCCTTTTAACAGGCCGTAGGGGCTCATAGTTTTGTGAGCCGTCGAGGCTCTCACGTTTTCTAGACAATCGGTTCACACATGGCCGTGGTGTTGTCAGCCTTATGCACCGCTCACACTTTAGCCCCAGGAAGACTAATGGTACTCATGTCTGTTAGAGGCCGAGTAGATCCCAGGACCACGGTGCGGCTGGAAAGATTAGCTCAGTTAATGACCTCATCCAGAATTGAATTCGCTACCGCGTGCCTCCCTCATAAGTACACTATACTCTATAAATATTTATTGTTTATCACTAGCATCAAAATTTGTATGTCTTCTTTAGTCAGTCTGGAAGCATTTCTAAGGACTACGGCAAGCCCAGTAGAATCTGTGAAGTGCAGGATTTAAACATCCTCTACGTGATCTCAATAGCGGCAGAGGTCACACGTTCAAATTGTGGCTGTGGCCGGGAGGATCTGTGCTTGCGTTAAATAGAGGGATGAGGCGAGGAGGACGCCACGGCTGTGTCCACACTAGCTCCTACGCGGGATTGATCGGAAATGGAATTTGTATCCGCTGTGTTGCAAAAACGAAGCGTTCCATATGCAGCTTCACGCTTCTCGGAACTGTGCATGGATAATGGAAGTGCTGTCAGGTAACAGGAGGCCAGCCTTTGCACCTGTTGTTCGGATTTTCGGACTACGGTTAGAATCACAACTAATCGACATTCATATCATCCTTTCTGTTGGAACTCAGTAACTTGCCATTGCTTTAGTTCCCTTCAAATTCCTTTCATATTTACCTTTATTCTAATTCCTCTGTAAACTCCTCTTCTTACCCTCACTATCCTAAGTTTTGCAGTTCATGTCTAGTGAATTACTTTTTTTCTGAAATGTACTCTTATATTGAAGAAAGCAGTCTTCTGGGATTTGGCACCGTGTATATGTGGTGTTAACCGACGTTTCGGAGGAACGTATCGCCTCCATCTTCAGGGTAGAGGAAAATATATAAGAAATCTGCAAGCAAAGAGACCGTGAGAACCGGTAAAAGCAGACTCTTATATTCTTTTGACAAGACCATATCCTAACATTCTATTTCTTATTTCTGTCAAAGTCATGTTTTCGTAAATAGGAGGATAATATTAAAATGGATAGTAGAAAAATAGGTTGGGGTATATAAATTGGATTTATCTGCCTCAGGATGGAGACTAGGTTTGGGCTCTTGTTCTCACGGTAATGAACCTCCCTGTTTCTTAAGATGTTGGGATTTTCTTCACTGACTGAGGTACTTTTGGCTTCTCAAGAGCGACTTGGCTGTATGTAGCTAGCTGTCTGGCAGGGAATTAGGTAGCCGGTGTTCTTTTTATTTACATAATTTCTTCATTTTACTGCATACTGCTTGTGAACTAAACTTCGGTAATACAGCACCTAAATTTACCTTCACAATACAGAACACGGAATTTTCGCATTAGTCGATTATGTTTCAGACCAAGGTAAAGCTAGCCCAGTAACAGGCCATAGAGAGCCATAAGGTTATGAGACGTCGAGGCTACCATATATTTTAGAAACTCAGCAAGCAGATGTCGGTAAGGTTGTCAGTTTACGCACCGGCCGCCCTTTACCCCCAGGTAAATTCCTGGTACTCATTTCTGTAAGAGGCTGAGTAAACCCCAGGGCAACAGAGAGTCTGGAAGGATAGGTAAAATAAAAAATCGAATTACCTCGTAGGGAATTGAACCCGCGACCTTCCAGCTTGTATCAGTGCCTCAACCAGCTACGCTATAGCGTACGCCATATGTAGATTACAATAAATCAAAACTAGCGGACAGTATTATACATAATGATGTAGAGAGAGAGTGGTCCAAGGTGCGGTTGCCTCTGTGTCTACCAGTGTAAGCTTATCGGGTTAGTGTTTAATTTCACATCACATATTTCTCACGTACTTCTGCGGCTCCGCACTGCAAGAGGGACTTGTGACCTGAATGTCTTCATGTTAGAGCGTCTTCCTTCAGTAGTAAGTCCTTATGATGATTGCTCTAACTCACTCTCTCCTTGAGGCAGGGTCCTTTTCGAAAAGCTAAGAGCGGCTTTGCGAGCTGGTACCCAAAGGTTCTCTACTGTGTTCACTAGACTGCGTTCTGGGCCACACAAATCCGTTCCACATTCTATTACCCTATTTCTTTCAGTTCTATTTTAATATATTCCCATCTACGCCGATGCCTTTCCGGTGGTCTCTTTCGCGTTTTCCGATCGGAATTTTATGCATCTCATCTGTGCCATGCATGATACATTCCGACTCTGTTTAATCTCGTTCTGTTTGATTAACTTTACAGTAATGTTTGTAAAAGTGTGCAAATATACGTATGAAGCCAATCTTGCCAACCTCTGCTTACTTCCTGTTACTTCTAGTTGAATCAACCCTGTAACCTCACATCCCTCTTAATTTCCTCACATATATTTTCCTCCAAATCTACTCTTCGGTTTACCATGTCTTCTCATGTCATCAGGTTTTCCAACTGAAATTATTAATACGTAAAAATACCGTGAAATTGCCTGTTGTCATGAAAGACATGATTTCATTACTGCCAATACACAGTCAAATGCAGTTCATAACTTTTCTTACTATTCTGATAAGGTCCAGTCCGGTATTTCCCTTCAGTCTCTGTTATAATCCCACTGTTTTGATACGGATTACGCATAACAAAATATTGCGAGGATATTTGTGTGCAGGATAAGTTATTACGCCATGAGGACGTATGGGAAATTTAACGTGTAGCTCCACACATTCTAACCCCTGCGCGAGATGGAGACAAGTGATCAGCTTCACGCCACTGTCGCTTCATCCCCAGTGAAAAGAAAGTCCGGTGGTCGTTTGGTGCGAGAATAGGCCCCAGAGCCCGTCTAGTAAGTTAAATATAAAGTAGTCTGTGTTTAATTAATTAAGCATTAAGCTATGGAGACAAATGGGAGAGTGAAATTATAGATGCACCATTCTTGACCTCGGCGGTAGGCGAAATTGAATGGTCAGTTTGACGTCCAGGGTGTTTTGCACCCAAGGAAGTCCGCACCCCTAGGATTCCGTGGGATAGGAGCCCAGAGCCAGTCTGGGAACTATGATGAAGAGACAAATTTACTGCTACCGGGAATCGAATCTCGGGATTTCCAGCCCGTTGCCATAGAGACTGGGATATCACGAAATCTCTTGACTTCATCTGGAATGGAGCCATGATTATTTGATCGGCGAGGCCGTAGCATAGTCACTATCCCGACTTAGTTAAGTCGGTTATGAATTCGGTGGCGTGAATGCGGGAATAAGAGTGAAGCAAGAAATTTGCTTTGTATTTCAGGTGTCATGGATGCGGAAACGCGACCTACACATTCTGACGACCAGCATCTTCACATACACCGGGGATGCAAGGTTCGGGGTCATACACCCCGAGGCCTCAGACGAGTGGAACCTACGGGTCGAGTACGTTCAGAAGAGGGATGCCGGCATTTACGAATGTCAAGTTAACACGGAACCGAAGATCAACTTGGCCATCCTTTTGAACGTGGAAGGTAAGAATATAAGCGGACCCTTTCTCCTGCTTGCAACCCTTATACACCGCCGCAATATGCATTGGCGCCTTGGGACAAAGATGCCTTAAATGCTGAATACAGTGAAACAGTTCGTAAATTATATTTACTAATACGCTACTTAATTTCTGACTATTTCAGTAGAGTTTCGACATCGGAATAATATAAGGCTCGTAAAAGAACTGTTGGAGATAATGTCATTAACAATTTCAACCCAGTTATATGTTTGTATTAATAAACATTACTCCATTTTTAGATACGTGTTTATTCATACATATTAGAACTGGGGTAGCTCAGTCGGTATAGCGACTGGCCGTTCTGGACGATAGGGGGTTCGGAGTTCGAGTCCCGATGGGGGTAAGATTTTTCACTTCTCCATGTCGTCCAGACGGGCTCCGGAGTCCACCCAACCTCTAGCCTCTAATCCACTGAGTGCATGAGCTCTTTTTCTTGGGGTAAAACAGCAGGGACGTGAAGCTGACCAATCACCTCTAGCCAGCGCCGAGGTCAAGAAAATGTGGATCTATACATCTACGCCCCTATGCTCTTCTAGACGTAATGCTTAGTTAAGCAGTGACAATTTTACATTTCCTATTCATACGTACATGAACATTTTTTCCCTTGGGAATGACTTCACTTGAAGAATATGAAATTTGTCAGCAGTGTATCTAGCAATTTATGGGGGCAGTAGTGTTCTTAGAGATTTTTATAATTCTGCTCAAGATGTTTTGGAATTTGAACGTATAATTAAACATAACTCGATTGGCGGTTTCTTGCATTTGACGCTAATTATATATGTCTTAAGTAACTAACAGCGGAGTAATCCTAAAAAATAGATCGACATTTGCAGTACCTTAAAACTTACGTATTTAATTAAACAGTTTTGTGTGGAGTTTCGAAAATTAATGACGGGAACTTTGTGATTCTGCATGGATAAGAAAGTGTCACGTGGACTATATATATATATATATATATATAGCTTTATATTTCTTATAGTCCCCTCTATCTGCAGTTTCAGGCCGATGGTCATGCAAGGATAAGATGATTATGAACGAAAGCTTACCCCAAGTGTACCAAATCTGAACACGTTCGTGCATGTGAGATTTGAGGTTTTCATAGCGGTGAAAATTTAGTTTGTGGTCTTCTGGGTTACAACAGCATATAGTCCCATAGGTGGTAACCGACGATTCAGAAGTCTTTGATCCCTCCATCTTCAGGATATGTATTTTTTATTGCTAGTTGGGTGTGACTAAGTCCCTTGTACTGCGGCCATTTCTGACCTATTGTACCAGCCCCAGATGATAGGTGAGGGTGATTATGGAGCAATTGGTGGAATGAATATTGACAGGGGAAACCGAAGTACTCGGAGAAAACCTGCCCCAGCGCCACTTTGCCCACCACAAATCCCACTTGACCAGACCCAGGATCGATCCCGGACCGCCGCGGTGGAAGCCAGCGCCTAAGCGCTTGAGCTATGGCGCGGCCTTCAGGATATGTATCTTATTTCTACATCTGATGACTGAGGCAGTATTTACTTTAAAAAAGTTTGTAACCTACGAGACTGCACGATACCACAGCCCAGATGAGTAAATTCCAAGTACAAGTTTTTTTGCCACTTTTCGTCTCTCAGACACCATGACATATATTGATGACCATTTTAGTGCTCCTGAACCGAAATGACTATCAAATATTTCCAGAACTGTTCACTATATCATACAGCTATATTATGTTTCTATTTTTATATCCATTCATGAAGCTTTAAAGGTTCCCTAGAACAAGCAAGACGCGATTAGTCATAGTCGACATCATAAGTGGAATGTTTCAGAGGTCAGTAGAATCTGCAGTCACTCATATTGGTTTTCCAATTTATTGCCGTATTCAACTAAGTACCATTTTCTTCGTGGTCTGCAGGACTGGGGGACGAAGTTATTCTTTTCGTAGTCCTGTTTCTAGACCGCGGTGTTCTCTCTATTATGGAGGAACCGTGCAAGGCTCAACGTTATTGTAAGTAATTTGGAAGTGACTGGAATTTCGTTTCTTCTCACATGCATGTGAATTATAAGCGATGAAATATACACTCATATGATAGATTTTGTGTACTTATCATTATTTACTCCCCTAAATATATACAAATTTTACTAATAAATGCCCCTTTAAAAAAACAAGAAGTTAAAGGAATTACAAATCGCATACTTCCCTTTGATACGAGAGGGATTGCATAGAAAGCGAAAAGAATTAAGAGGATACATACAGACACACAAACAAGTGATTTCATAAGCCTAAAAAAGACGGGGGATACACAGAGAGATGAACTAGACCGATAAATAGACAGATAGCAAGGTGATCTCATAAGCCTCTTTTTATTTTTTAAAAATAAGCTTAAAATATATTATTTCTGAAATAGGATACTATCTTTCCTTCATATATCACTCGTTAATCGGGTACACTATTCATTCACAATGAATTTAGAAAAGGCTCTTCTTTATTTGTATGAATATTTACATGTTTTAAACAAACACAGATGGCTGTGCCGTATTTCTTTTTATTGCTAGTGGGGCGGGACTAAGTCCCTTGTACTGCGGCCACTTCTGGCCTATTGTACCAGCCCCAGATGATAGGTGGTGGTGATTGTGGAGCAATTGGCGGAATGAAGATTGGCAGGGGAAACCGAAGTACTTAGAGAAAACCTGCCCCAGCGCCACTTTGTCCACCACAAATCACACTTGACCAGACCAGGGATCGAACCCGGGCCTCCGCGGTGGGAAGCCAGCAACTAACCGCTTGAGCTATGGCGCTGGCTGTACCATAGCTCTGGCCCTTAGTGGTTGGCTTCTTACCACCGAAATCCGTGATCGTGTAAGATACTTCTGAACGAAATGGCACCGAAACAGTTTTCACTCCAAGTTTCGTCGTTTCTACCACCCAGCATTGCCTAAGTTACGATTTCTGTACGTTTACTGAGGCGTGCGGTAACAGACCAGCCAGCTCTTCACCACATTGTTATTCTTTAAGATGGGGATTCATGTCTGACACTGCAGAGCAAAGGAAGCTTCCAAGTCTTCAGAGTCTCTGTAAGAGCTATAAGGAACTTTTGTGTTCATAAATTAAAGATACTCTGATAGAGTGTTTCATTTTTCTCGCGGTTATCCCTCACAGTTGATATTCTTGATTTTTGGACTACATTGACTAATTTATCATTTCCTATGAGCACGAGTGATTTTATTGTTGAATATTCACGAGAGAATGTTTATTAATGTGTAGAATGACCTGCGATTGTAAAGACGCACGAACCTTCAACCCGAAACTGGATAGGATTTGAACCTGGTACCCTATGATACTGAACTAAAAAGTTTCTCCGGTGAGCAGTCTGTTTATTTGTGTGACATGTATCAGATGCAGGTACTACTGCTTACATATGAAACCGTGAAGTTTGTTCCGGTTGTATTCATTAATTTATTTTTATTTATTGTTTATTTGGTGCACACGGGAACGTAGTTGGTTGAGGCACTGTGCTAGAAACTGGAAGATAGTGCTTTCGGTTCTCGATAAGGTCATTGGATTTTTGATTGACCTGATCCTTGCAGCCGCACTATGGCCCTGCAGTCGACTCAGCCTCTAACAGAAATGAGTACCAGGAATTTTCCTTGGGGTAAAGAGTGGTCCGCGCGTAAGGCTAACAACCTCACCGCCAACTGTGAACCGATTTTCTAGAAAGTGTGGGAGCCTCGACTTCTCACAACCCTATGGGCCTGCATGGCCTGTTACAGGGATACAGGGGTACTTTATTTCAAAGTTTACTTAATGGCACTTATCACAAATTCAGAGTATGCAACTTGTTGTGGTTGGAAGGTAGTAAATAATAAACAACAAAGGATGTGCAAGGTAGAGACAATATCCTTTTTGACTGCATTGTTTCGGAATTTGACTTAATGGGCTGAGATTAAAATTAGATATCTTCCGAAAACTAGCCAGCTTGAGCCTACTTTCACTGCCAGTTCTGTTTTGTAACAACGCAAATCAATCTTAATTACTTCGGTTATAATTAATTATATATTTCTAATGAATTCTGAAGTTAACTCTTAATTCAAAATAGCGGTCGGTTCTGAACTGTAGAAAAATTCTTAAATTGATTTGAAGTTATGAATCGTGAATATTCGAAGCAGTGCTGAAACCGCAATACAGTAATAAATGGGTACGCTCAGGGGTCATTCATGTAACTTCACTTAGACCCATGTACTGCCCAACGGATGAAAGGTACTTCGCTTCTGCACACATCCTGCATAAGGTGAAGCTTGTATAATATTGAAGAACATTACTTTTCAATAACTGGTAAAGCTTCAAGCTCAAGGGTGAAAAGGACAATTTTATGATTAGTATTAATATATGAGAATGAAAACAAAAAATGGGTGGAAATCTAGAGTCCTTTTTATTTTTCTGTTCTAATCTCAGTTTCATACACATTTCTTGGTTTATTTACCGTACGACCGTGTAGTCGGTGTTCGAGTCTCGGTAGAGTCAAGAATTTTCTTTTCTTCAAGTCGTCCAGACCGGCTCTGGGGTCCACACAACTTCTATCCAATGGGTACTAAGGGGTAAGGTAAAGCGGACCGGGCGTGAAGCTGACCACTCACCACCAGCTAGTGCCGAGGTCAAGAAAATGTGGATCTTTACATCCACTCTCCCATACGCCTTTATGGAGTCGTACTTAATTAGTTAAGCACAAGGACAAATTTACTATAGACAGTCTTCTTATTAGGGCTTTTGTAGTAATTATGAACCATTATATTAGAATTAAGAGACCAGATTAATTAAGTTCTAAGACACAATGGAACTCAATATGTCAGGTCTATTTTTTTAATATCGTGGTCTCTGCTCTGTTTGGCATAGTGAACTCTGTGCTTACCGCACCATTTTAACATTGAGAAACTTTTCATTTTGCCCACTCAACGTATTTATTCAATTCAGATGATTCTCAGATCAAACAGAGAGATATTCGCGTAAAGAGCAGTAACCGGTTGTTCTTTGTGTTGGAGATGTATTCATGTTTAAATGCTATTTAGTTTAACTGAGACTTAAGGATTTAATTTTCTGAAATCGTAAACATGGAAATGGAGTGCAGACTAATTAATTGTATCGTATTACCCTTCATTCTAATTAACATTTATTTTCGTATGGCCCCAGATGGATGATGGTGTGAATACTAAACGCGAAGTGTTTAAGATTCATGATAGCAGACATGACTGTAAAGCTGCAGTCTGGACTGATATGCTCATAGTCTGCGCATAATTTGCGCATATGATCATTCACCTTTATATTCTGGATGCTCCTAATTCTTTCCAATACTTTTGGTGAGCATTTTAACATGATTAATTACAGTTATCAGTGCAAACCTTTCGTATCTGTCTTCCAGTATTCTTAATAAATTTTAATATCTTTAATATACCGATATATTCAATTTATGTAGGTCCTTTTTCCATAATTCCACCGTAAACTGCATGAAACATGCAGATGCTATACTAAATTTTAATGCTTTTATCGACTGAATGACGCTTGTGCATGTTACCCTCCAAACAAAGGCCCGCAGGGCTTTACGTAATATACCTCTCGATGTTAGAAAAATTTGTCACTAAGCCTATTGTTACTTTGCTGCTATCGTGTCTATGGGTCCTGTTATCTCGCTGGCTGTCATGGTTACACCACTTTGATTTTGGTGCTAGTGAAGCTCCCACCTCATATGTTCCTGCATCCACCACGTTGCTTTCTCGGATTGTACGAAATTAACAGTTATGCGTACGGGACATCCTCCGATGTCGTAATGTCCGTATCAGAGTTCATCAAAATAAGTTCACAGATTTTAAGCTCGAAGCATATGGACGAAAGGAGAGGCTGTTACTGTAGAAAGAAAGCAAAATAAGAGTATCAACGCTAATATCTTTGTATAGGTCCATATTACAATTCCATGTTTAGCTTTTCTATTGATTATTATGAAGTATAAAGCTATAGTTTTCTTGGTGTATCTGTCTATCTATGACTCTACACTCTTTGTTGGGCCTTGGCTGGTTTTCAGGTTCTTGATCGTTTACACAATCGGTCGGACTCCTTGGATGGAGGATCAGCTCGTCGCAAGATCGCTACATACACACAGGACAACACAAACATAGAATAAATGTACACAGACATCCATGCCTCAAGTGGGACTCGAACCCATGATCCCAGTGTTTGAGAGGGCGAAGACAGTTCATGCCGCAGACCGCATGACCACTGTGATCCGTATTTTCTGGATTATAGACTAGAAAATGTCGTATGTTGGAAACCGTTAAACTGAAAATTCACCGCTATGATAACTTCAAATTTCACATGAACTGATCCTGTGAAAGTTCCGTTAAAATATTGTTACTTATATTAGCTCCTTGCTTCTTACTGTACACACATAAATTTCTTATCGTCCTAATGAAGTAATTCGAATTTTCTATAATTTTCAGCTTTGCACAAATATATGCAGGACTGTCCAGTTATTACTGATGATCATGAAAAGGACGCAATATCATAACTTTATAGTTTGTAACTTACAAAAATAAGTGTAACACCAGCCTGGACTTAAACAGGAAATATGATTCTACGCGTGTTCAGACACACAGATATTTAAGAATTGTAGCATATTGCGTCTGAAATATTTCTGATGTTACGTCACCAACAGATACTGAGGCAGACCGTCACGTTATCACTAGAGAGTTACAAGACTGTATTTTCAAAACACAATGGAAAGAAAAATTACGGTACAAAAAGTCCCGTTGAATATATAAGATTTTTTTTTCCATACGGTTGCATGCTCAAGGTATGACGTGCAGTCAAGTGTGTTTTAGAATAAAAATACACATGGAACATTCACATTATTTTGCTATACATATGAGGTAAGGTAAAAGACATAGTTGTCCCTGTATTTAACTAATTAAGAACAACGCCATAAAAACGTGTAGGAGAGTGATGTATAGATCCATATTTTATTAACCTTGGCATTAATTGGAGGTGTGTTCAGCTTCAAGCCCCGGCCGCTTAACCCCCAGGAAAGAGCCCCCGGTACCCATTGGATAGGAGGCTGGGTGGACCCCAGAGTCGGTCTGGATGACATGGAGAAGTGAAAATTCTTACCCCCACCGGGACTCCAACTCCGAACTCTCGGTCGTCCAACTCGCAGCCAGTCGCTATACCGGCTGTAAGTCAAGTAAGGTTGTTACGATAGTTGTGGAAAGATATCGAAAGAGTATTCAGACGGTTTCGACAGTAAATTAACACGCTTTCCTCACAGTAGACATTTAAGTAAATATATATATATTGACCCTTCTGATTTGTAGATTACTATCCTGGTAATGTGTAGAGTTCTTGGCTCTCTGTCCCCTTGAGGTAGTTTGGTGTGAGGCCATTTACCCTGTATTGGTGCAGTATACTTAATAGTGTAGATAGTACTCATTGTCCTTGTGGTGACGCTCGACAGTCAGGTCAAGTGCTGTTACATAAATTTAATTCATTTAGATATCAAATTAATTACGAAGTACCAGATCCTACTCACATGAACAATATTCTTCCTCTCAGCATATATGCAGCTCAACCAACTAGCCATCTCTATAAGACTGCTGATTTTGAATGATATACGCCTTATTTAACTAACCAATATATCTTCTCAAACAACCACCTCTTTATTTTTCGCGACACAAAAAATCAGTTTTTCCCACTTATGAAAATTTTACTTTTGCATGTGACGCTCTGTACTCTCTTAAAAAGTTACGGATTTTAGTGAGAAACCTTCTGTCTCCGTCTTCAGAGTAGAGGACGGAGACAGCGGACTCCTCCGAAACTTTGATGACAATCTCTCAGACGCGCCATTAGATCCCACAAGGAATAATCTTCGTACTCAACGCTGTCATAACTTGAAATTTTCCATTTTATATTCCAAAATACTTCTCTCATTGCACAAGGCTTGCATTTTGAAGACAAAATGAAGAAAATCAAACATTATTTTAATGTTAGTACTTTCGCCTTGTGGAATTGCGCTGTACCGCCTGTGATCAGGAGGTGCCTCCAAACCGTCAGCATCGCTGATCCCTTCTGTATGATGTGGACATCCAAGAACAAATTCAGAATCAACACGAAATCACCACGAAATCCTAGAATCAGTAAATGTTTTTCATTTGATAAATATTTGTCATTATAAAATTATGCATTTTATTGAAATCAGATATAATAAAATGTACTTGAAATTGTATTAATGAAGGAAATATGTTGCGATATGTTCAATAAGCTCATTTACTTTGCATTAAGTTAAGCTAGGGAATCTCAAACTTGGTGGTACTGCTGCTTCCTAAAACAAGACATAAATTTAGACGAGCTTCCATTTCTGCCGGTCAGCGAAAAGTGAACTTCTGCACACAGCTGCTGGTCCCTGTCGGGTTATACTGTGACGTGAATATCTTTACAACACTTCTCCCTCTGAAATAAGCTACAAAACATCTGTGAAATATTTCGTCAACTCCAGCTGATATTTCGGAAAGCGTACAGATTCAATTTTGCTGATTTTGTAATTTTCCAAAAATTTTGCTCGGATACTAATGTATTTTACATAAACTTTGAGAGATTGGCGATAAATTTATAATAGCTAGAGATCTCACAGGTGGTCGCTAACAATAGTTACAGCTCTTCGGATGTGAACAGCACTTCGCCTCAGTGTCGCACTGCATATATCCTACATCCCATCCCAGCCCCCAGAAAGGCACATCGCTGAGCCTAGCACAGTCCATTTGTTGTCTGTAATTCGCAACTTCGTAGTCTTGTTAGTAACTAACAGGTAACAGTAATTATTGTCAGCCGCCATATCTCCTGTATCTCTGTCTGTCTCTTTTCTCATTCTTAAGTAACATTCTTTCCTTATTTGTTTGTTTGTCTCTGTTTTTTGCTTCCCTTCCAGACACGCTCTCTGATATCCTTGACACTTCACTTGGATCTCGGGCTTCGTCCGGCAACTCCAAACAAGGTTGACAACTATCAGCAACAAAAAGAAACCTTTCTGCTGCTTGATGCTTCCGCCTGCTTGCTTTATTGCCTGACTACTTTCCTGCAAGCACTGTTTTCTTGATGCCAACCTTGTCTCAATGAACACAGAAGGTTCACTGCATCTAGATAAGGAACGTCCCTACAGTATCCATCTTATTCGCTTGTGATTTCGGATGATGTACGGCATCTGTAGAAACCTGCACTTTCTTTTGCAAATCGCGTCTTCATGTTTGATGTTCAAGCACCTCCTGCTCCTTCACTTCACAGGAATGCATTTGCTCTTCCACAGTGTTCCACTTAGCAACATGTCATTGCTAGGAATTATGATGATATTAAGTTAATTATTTTGTACATAATTTATTTAACGACACTGCCCGTGGCTCAGACTATACAGATTCGAATTGGAAAATGATTAATGAATAATGAATTTTGAAAGAATTTGGAAGGAACCCGGTGTTGCCTAATCAGTTTACTTCCTCAGCATTTGCTTGAAGACGTTAAAGTAAAACATGAAAAATCTCAGTCCGGATAAAAAGGTAAAAAAGTAAAGCTATCCCTGTAATAGGCCTCGGAGGTCCGTAAGGGTGTGAGACGCTTAGGGTACCACATTATCTAGACAGTCGGCTCACAAATGGCTGTGAAGTTGTCAGCCTTACGAGCCGGCAGCACTTTATCCCCCAGGAAAATTCCTGGTACTAATTTTTGTTAGAGCCTGAGTCGACCCCAGGGCTATAGTGCGGCTGGAAAGATTTGGTCTCAGTCCAGGTACCCGATATTTTTACAGAGATTCCGACAGAACACCTCTCGAGCACAAGACTTAAGCGTTACAGCTACACTGACCAGCTCGGTGAGACAGAAGGCGTTTAGCAAGTAGTTACGAAGAATTGCATAACGCTCAGATTCACCTGTTTATAAGCTCACACCGCTCTTGTGGTCGGGTTGCAGAAAGTGCTGGGAACTGTTTGTGTGGCTGAGGCTTCTCAAGAAGGAACCAGCTCCGCGGAGTCGCTCACATTCTTGCTGATACGGAAGAAATTGGTCTAAATGTATTACTCTGGACTTCTTGGGTTCGAGGCTTCTTTATTTGGATCTAGGTCAAGTCACGTATTGATGACTCAGATTTTTCGTGGTATTCCTCATCCCCTCAAGGAAACTGCCGGGTAAATAACGTCATGTAGGTGACGATCTCTTCCTTCCTCATAATTAACTGTTTCCCCTTCATCAACCATCCTACAATCCGACTCTGTATAATCTCATCAATCAAAGCGTTTTTAAGTAATTTTTAACCTACAGTTGCTTTGAATTGTTTATTGTGTTCGTAAGAACCAACGACATTCCTCTGTTTTTGTCTGCGATATGTTTTTGGAGGTAAACATCCGTTTGTTCTTAATTATTTAATTTTATTTATCGTAATTATGTCTGCCGGTCACGATGGCCGAGCTGTCTAAGGCATGAACTCACTTCGCTCTCTATCGTGGGTTCGAATCCCATTCAGGGCATGGATGTTTGGTGTGTGTATCTGTTTCTTCTGTGTTTGCGTTCTGCTGTGTTTAGGTAGCGGCCTTGCGACGGCCTGATCACTCGTCCAAGGAGTCCTACCGTCTGTGAATTGAATAAAGGAATAAAAGAAAACCTCGACATCCGTATAAGGGTATAAGAGGAAAGGATGAAAAAAAGTAATTATGTCTACAATTAAGAAATCATAGTTCTGAATAATTTTAGTTCTTGAAATTAACACGGTACTCCTTTTCGTTTCCCGCAAATACTACTTTATGTAATAATGTTTTAGATTTTATGCAGAAAATATATTATATTTTCCCGTCATGAGTAATTACTTTAAACAATCCATATTAGTTTTGTAATACGGGAGTATTGATTATGAATTCTAATTTATATGTGTCTCCCCTTCACGACCGATGTTGGGCACGATACATATTTAATTAGTCTCAACCGAATGCGCTTGAAACACAAGCAGAGGAAATTTCAGATTATTTTAGCTACCCCAGATGCCCATACCTGTTGATGTTCATACGGGCGATGACAGTATGTGTAATCTCTTATGTATTCTACTGTCTTACATAAACTGTGACCGTTAATGACGTTCTCTCATTGTTCACATTGAAATTAAAACGGTGTCATTTTTACGGACACGTGTGACAAGAAATCTAACGGTAGATACAAAACAAGAGAAATGTAATTTTCGACTTAACTTAATTTTTATAAACAATATAAAACCAAGATATCTGGGTTCTGGACTTCTTCCATCGTCCAGTATTCTAGAAAATAAAAAAACACGACGTTTCGGAAACTGGATCTGTTTCCTTCCTCAGATGAGCTAGGAAGACACCTACTCAGTTAGGCCCCCTAGGAAAGGTTATTCTCAATCATTGACGGAAACAGAACCAGTTTCCGAAACGTCATGTTTTCTATTTTATAGAATACCGGATGATGGAAGAAGTCCAGGAATCCAGTAATTCTGTGTGTTATACATCATCGTCAGAACCATTTAGAATCTATTCAACCTAAAAAAATGTTTCAAAAGTTCACTTTCATTGTCGTTAAAAATGCAGTCAAATGTACCATTAGCCGATCAGTCTGTAGTTACTGTGTGATTATCAGAGTCTCAGAACTGGCCACTTGAGAAACAAACGTTGCCAAATTCACATGTGCTCATTACAATCCAAAGTGGAACGGTGTATTTAATTTCAGGATATAAACCTTCAAAATATTTCTCTGTTGTTACACATCGCTAGATGAATATTTGATTATTCATCTCTCTATATACATGCATATGTAACAGTGAGATGACCTTGATTCGATAGATATGGGAGTTTGCCATTAAGCTGCAGGATGCGCCACTTGCCGTTTTCGTTTCGGACCGAAATTTCGGGAATAGTTAAGTCCTTATGAAGTGATGATCACAGATATAGTAAATCGTACAGAAATGCCAGGGTTTTCGATTTTCCTCTTTACACACGCACACACATTATAGTGGAACTAATTTTTACTTCATTCAGTTAACTTTGTTAACGGTTTACAGTGTTTTTTGTGAAGCCAGTGGTTGCTCATCCACGTAAGGGATTTTCTGAAATTTATGGAACTCGAAGGTTCATTACCGTGTCCACAAGTCACAGCCACTAGTCCCTATCTTGAGCCAGATGAATCCAGTAAATATCTTCGAAAACTATCTAATTAAAATCAATTTTAATATTATCCTACCATCTTTGTCTAGGTCTTCCATGTGGGATCTTTCCTCATTATAAAAAGTTAAGGCTATCTCTGTAACAGGCCGTGGAGGTCCGTAGGGCTGTAAAAGTCGAGGCTCAGACATTTTCTAGACAGTCGGCTCACAGATGGCGGTGATGTTATCAGCCTTAAGCACCGGTCGCACATTTATTCCTCAGAAAGATTCCTGGTACTCATTTCTGTTAGAGGCTGAGTCCACTCCAGAGTCATAGTGTGGCTGGAAGAATTAATTCAATTGAAAAATTTAATGACCTCATCAGGAATTGAACCCGCCACCTTCCGGCTTGTAGCATATTGCCTCAACCAACTTCGCTACCGCGTGCTGCCTCTTTCCTGAATATGTTCCTATCAAAACTTTGTATGAATTTACCTACCATGCGTTCTACATCCTCTGACCATCTCACCCATCTTGTTTTGCTTTTAATTAAATTGACGTCACATCGAAATATGCCCCAAACAGAACTTTTACAATTTCATAAAAGGGACGAGTTTTAAATAACGACACCATTTGGGGAAAGTGGTTCAGTTCAATTTGAACTATATGTAAATTTTGGAATATGCTCTTGTTAGACCGACGTGTGCTAAAATGATATTCGCCCGATAACTTTCACTTTATGCCAAAGGTAAAAACAGCAACATTCTCGCTCAACTTAGTCAACTAAGCATCACGCCATGAAGATACGTGGGAAAGTGGAGGCATAGCTCCATCATTCATGACGTCGGTACTAGATGGAGGTGAGTGGTTAGCTTCAAGTACCGGCCGCTTTACTTCTGGAGAAGAACCCTCCATTGCGCACTGTATAGGAGGGTGGTTGAACCCTAGAGCCTGTCTGGAGGACATGGAACAGAGAATAATACCTTGCCCCTATCGGGAATCAAACCCCGTTCTATCGCTATACCAACTGAGCAATACCCTTAAATTTATGCCAGTAAAACCAAGTTTCAAATTGGAGGCCCTGATGGCGGTGATTATGATAATTGTTCTGGAATGTGACGCCTTGCAGCCCAGTATGTCACAACTAAAGTTTCGTTGGAACCCGCTGTCTGCATACTGAGATAGAAGAGCTTTATTCTGCGTTAAACCTGTATTCGAGCGGAAATTCCTTGTAATTCTGCACTTTCCATTTCGAAAATGGTACTCTTAGGGTGGTGCTGTGTTGCCCGCCAGCAGTGGTATCAGAACTGTCGACAGATGGCGCCACTAGACAGGTGTATTGAAATAGAATTTTGTCTAACTCTTCTGTTGTCTACTGAATTTAGACACATTACTCATCAACCCATGATGAAATTTACGTAAACCTTTATGAAAAAGAACACGTCTAATCACTAACATCAGAAATATATGGATCAAAGTTTTGAGTAATACCCTCCCTGAAATCCAACTGTGGCTTTCTCAAAACTACCCTCATACAGTAGAGTACTGTCTTCTGAGATATGACGCCGTGTAGTCTGGTAGAAATTCATCTACTTTTCGACGTAATGTCCATCTTGATAGAAGAAGAGTAAGCCGAAGAAATTACGAGCAAGAAACAAGTAGCAAGCAGAGCTCTGCTCTGAAGGAAGTACCTTACTAAGAAACGTCGGCAAACTACAGGACTACACTGTGTCAATTCCCAGTAGATAGTACCAACATACCAACGTACTGCTGACTGAAGACATCGAATGGATCATCCTAGAAACCCTTGCCACTAAAATGCAAAAACCCATTGTAGTGACGATGTCGACATCTTCATGATGTGGTGCTTGATTCATCAAGTCCAGGGATACATTTACTTTTGCCTTATTCAGAGTTGGGCTCTTTGAGGCCTACCGACTCTATCCATGGCTGATGAATCACCCCTCAGGCAAGGCAGCGAGAAGTGAGTTTTAAAATGATACACTCGCAGATCGAGTTCCCTGTTAATGCGCGACTTGGGTTGCATGAGACGAATGAACAAAATATAAAATTCTAAACGGTAAAGCGTTTTAATGCTAAAAATAGCGGCAGGAATACAGGGTGCTAAGATGGGTTACTGTCTTTGAGGGGTTATAATACCCATTTAATAGAGCAAAAAACTCACATTCAACATATGCCCAGAAATAAGTGCCTCCTGAAAGTCAATGTCTGGATGGGCATCTTAGGTGATCAACATTATAGGACCAGTTGTCTTACCTAACAGGTGCATTTTACTATCATTTTGTTTGGTGAATGATTTGTCAGTACTTCTGAAACATATGCCTCTTCACCAACGACCACACATGTGCTTCATGCATGATGGCGCATCGCTACAGTTCCACTACACTGTCAGGCAACACCAGAACCAGACTTTCGATGAACAGTAGATAGATCACGAGGGCCCAGTCAACTGTCCTGCATGATCCCCTGACTTTAATATCCTCTGGACATATGGCTCCGGGACACTTAAATCTCTGGTGTATTCAACACCGAACAATGACTTAAGAATCATTTGAGCAAGGAGCAGAGAATGGCTGTCAGGAGATTCTAGTGAAGCCAGGAGCTTTCTACAGATTTCGCCCTTGTCTGCGACGAAGAGCCGGAAATTGTGTTAAAATGCATGGGAACAACACAGACCATCTGCTATATAGATCACACCAATATGGCTCATATCTCGCCAGGCACTGGTTTCTGTATCTTGACTGGGACTTCTTTGCTTATTTTAGTGAGTACTCTACACCCTACTGTAACCCTTTTTAAAATCCTGTGTATAATTTTTTCAATCTTAATGCATGTCATTTACTTGCAAAACCTGGGTTAAACAGCAGAATATACTATTCATTTTATGTAAACTAAAATCACGAACAAAANTAGGCATAGTTCGCTTGCGGACTAAAATCACGGAGTTTATGTACGGGTAATAAATTTATAACGGGATCACTACTGTTACTGATATGTAAGTCGTATATCCTATATTTTGTACGTGATTTAAAGGGAACAACGCACACACCAACCAATCCTCTCAGTATTCGAGGTACACTTTATAGGTTGTGCCTGTTCTTCCGGAGAGATCAGTCATATCCGATACACGTCTCAGGGTTCGCATCTGCAAGCAATAGACTACAATTTCTCAGTCACTTTCTTCAAAACCTGTCTTACTCTTTCCTTTTCTCTCTCTCAATTTTGTTCGCATGAAATTGGTTTGCTTCTTGTATCGATGTTGCAGCTGCCTGGCATGCATGAATGTTTATGAATGTGGAGACATGTCTCTTAAAGCTTTGCATATTTTTCTGTATAGACTACAAGCAGAACGCTGTACTGAAAACTGCATACACTTCCCGCATCTGCTAGATATTTTGAACAGATTGATAAGAGAAATAGTTTGACCACGTCGACACAACTGAAAACACTCATACATGCTACCAATAACATGGATATAATGACTTAATATGTTTTCTGAAAAAAAAACTAACATATTTACCTGTTTATTTCGCAGGAGAGCTAAGCAGATGGAATTATAAATATCATATTAATATCCATACTCAGATATTTGTTCTGATAAGATTAAATATGTTGCAATGTAAGATTTTATTTTAATTGAATACAATTTTTTAAATATCCAAAAGTATAAATTTTTGTTGGATGAACTTGGTTTAATTGTCATCCAGAAAATTGACCTCCGTTACTTTGGTTTGTCTTCGGAAGATAATTGTTCATTGTTTAATAAAACAGGAAATGTATGCATAGGGCAACAAATCTCGTTTAATTATCGCCAGAGCTCTAAGACTTGCGGAAAAAGTTAAGCTGGACATGATGCATATCAATTTTCTCTACAACTCCAGTACGAATATTTTTCTCTCCGATATATATTTAACGAGTTATTCTCGAGATAACGAGACAGGTATTCATATTGGTCTTTACATAGTAAAAACGAAAGTATCCCTGTACCGGGCCGTGAAGGCCCATAGGGTTGTGAGACGTTGGGGGTCCCACATTATCTAGACAATCGGCTCACAGATGGCGGTAAGGTTGTCAGCCGCGCTTTACTCCCAAGGAAAATTATTTAATTAATTCCTGGTACACATTTCTTTTAGAGGCTGAGTGAACCCCAGATCCATAGTGCGGCCGGAAGGATTAGGTGAATTGAAAAAAATCCATTGACCTCATCGAGACTTGAACCCGCGACCTTGTGGCTTGTAGCATAGCCCCTCAACCAACTACGCTACCGCGTGCCCGGGTCTTTACGTACAGTGTCCATTATTTGTATTAAATTGTAACAAGATGTTGAACTCTTTAAAATGAGCTTAATAAAGCTCCCCGATATGAAATTTGGTTAAAATAACTTCATCGTGGTTCTCGAGATTTTCATCTGTACAGGCGGACGGACAGAGCGATTTCTTTAGGAGCTCCGCAGGAATGCGAAAGGTTTTTCAGGGCCTACATTCTTATATAAAATTTATGAAAGCATACAATAATATGTAAGTAGGATTTATTGAGAATACATTTCCAATTTTTGTTGGATTACATCCATTGAGGAAATTTCAAACGTGATGTGGAAAGTAATGCCATACAGAGACATTCTCACTCCCCGCAGGGAGGAATATGTCTAGTCTGGCACGTTAATGTAATGTCAGTTGTGTTGGTGTAAATTGCTCAAAATATTTTGCAACTAAATCAAAGAAATCACCCCCACGCACAAGTTCCCATGATATCAAAATTTTTTAACAAATTTCCAAGAAACAAGCAAACATAATTCATATAAAATTATAAATGATATGCAAGGCACACTTTTATGTAACTCAATTTATTGAATGTCTTATTTACAGTAACACAAACCTCGCTTCTGTAGCCCCATTGCCCTGCCACACTGAACTGTGACTCCAGGAGACACATGTACATGTAGGAACCTATCCTTACTGACCCAGCCTTGGTGATTCTCGGCGTAATCAGTGTCGCAGGATCTTGATGTGTTTTTGCAGCAGCCACGCTTCTTATCTATGTTCGTGCTTTCTTTGCGATAGCGGCTCAGGCGAACATCTGGGGACCGGAAGATGTCTACGTGAAGAAAGGCAGCACCATCAGCCTCACGTGCTCCATCAACGTCCACTCGACGCCACCCGGCTCAGTTCTCTGGTATCACGGAGCTTCCGTCGTGGACTTCGATTCGCCGCGAGGTGGCATCAGCCTGGAGACAGAGAAAACTGAATCTGGGACTACCAGCAAACTGCTCGTTACGAAGGCAGCGCTCTCGGATTCCGGCAATTATACCTGTGTCCCTTCCAACGCGAACCCCGCCAGTGTCTGGGTTCACGTTCTAAACGGTGAGTTCCTTTGTTTCTCTGTCGCAAGTCTTTTGTTGCGGAGAAACTGTGGAAAGGTAATTAAAAAAAGTAAAGTCTGTATACATCCGGTCACGGTAGCCGAGCGGTCTAAGGCATGCATTGTCTTTGCTCTCTTGGAAACCGGGAACATGGGTTCGAATCCCACCCAGGGCATGGATGTTTGATGTTTGTGTGTGGGTGTGCGTCTTTCTGTCGATCACCCGTCCAAGGATTCCTACCGAATGTCTAAGGCTTGCTAAACCGAAGTGAAACGGAGAGTTTCATGGAGGTAGAGCAATGCCAAAATTGGGGCCGTAGCGCCAAGGGAAAAAAGTGTATATACATCAGCGCCGATCACGGTGGCCGCGCAATGTAAGGCATGAGCTGTCTTCGCTCGCTCTAAAGCTGGGGTCGTGGGTTCGAATCAAACTCAAGGCATTGATGTCTGTGTGTGCGTTTTCTTCTGTGTTTATGTTGTGCCATGTGTAGGTAGCGACCTTGCGAAGGGCTGATCCCCCTTCCAAGGATCCTACCATCTATGCAAGAAAGATTATGCAACTGAAGAAGAGGTCAAGGCCCAATACAGGCTTGTAGAGCCGTGGATGAATGAATGAATGAATGAATGAATGAATGAAAGGGTATACATCAGCCGGAATAGCTCAGTTAGTGTAGGGACGGGCTACGGGCTTGAGAGTCGGGATTCAGTTCCAGGCAAGGGCAAAGTATTCTTCTCTACTTCACAGCGTCAGGCTCTTATTCCATCCCAGCCGCCCATCTAACTGGAACCGGGGGCTCTTTCTCTGGAGAAAAACCATTCGGCTCGTGAAGCTGACAGCTCACATGCTTGTAGAGCCGAGGTCAGGAATGTTGGAGCGACACCTCCACTAACCATACGCTTTCATGGCGTCCTGTTTAATTGAGCACAGAGACAATTTTACCTTTCTAAATTTCATATTCTGTAAGAACCACAGTGCGTCACGCTCTCTGTAGGCAAACTTACGGAAGAAAAATTCTGTGTGTTTATGTTTCAGTTTCCTGCGGGAGTGTTATTACACTGGAAATAGAGTCTAGTAAATCTGCAACGGTGTAGCGGTCTACACCGCTAACCAATCATAGCACGATCTCGCTTCAATGAGACAAACCTTTTTTTATAGAAAGACTTTGTGTTGAGAATTGGAGTGACAGTGTGTAGCTAATCTCATGTCAAATTTAGAACCACGCATTGAAGACGTATGGGTAGCGGAGGTATAGCTCCTGACATTATATTCTAGTATCCTGTTGCCAGAACAAGACACGTAGCACAACACACAACAGGAAAGAACAGAACCCACCTACTCAAAAACATATGCGCATCCAGGGAACCTATACATATTTAACAACATAAGAAAGAAGAAAAGAGAGCAGTTTCTTCGCAAAGTAACACCTGAAGATGACCGACCACATTGGCCGAAACATATAGTGTGAATTTATAAAATTTTAAAGTGAATAATTTGTAATAAATTTTATAGAACATAGGTTTGCACGTGAGACTGTAAAAAACGAATGTACAGTAAGGTACAGCTCCACTCATTATTAATCTCGGAAATAGCGAAAGGTGAATGGAAAGCTTTGCAGTATACCCAGACCGCTATGTCACCGGATCCTCTCTGTCCATTGGAGTATAGACTGGGTGGGGTTCCGGACATTTCTGGAAACTGTGGAGAAAACAAACTTCTCTGCCCTGTCGACAATTGTTCCGACTGTGAGTCCAGCCTGTAGATTAGTCACTATACTGAATGGGTCATAAGCGGTGCTGGGATCGGAGTAAATACAGAAATAATTTCACCACACGGTTTTGAATTAACTCTCAAAATATGCATCTAACACAGTGAGCGGTTATATCGTTATAATTCTACATTAAATATTTGTAGCCTGCTCAAATGAAGGAAGGAGACGTATGCAGGGCATATACGTAGTAAACTTAGGAGAGACAGGACTGAGGGTGTTGAGGAGAATATTTGCACCGAAGAGAGATGAAGTGACAGGAAGTTGGAGAAAACTACATAATGAGGAGCTTCATAACTTGTCCTCTTCTCCAAGTATAATTAGAATGATCAAGTCAAGGAGGATGAGGTGGACAGGGAATATAGCACGAATGAGGGAGGAAAGGAATGCATATAGGATACTGATGGGAAAGCCAGATGGAAAATACCACTGGGAAGACCAAGTTGTAGGTGGGTGAACAATATTAAACTGTATCTTAGAGAGATAGGATGGGATGGTATGGATTGGATTGATCTGGCTGAGGATAGGGACCAGTGGAGGGTTCTTGTGAACACGGTAATGTACATTGGGGTTCCATAAAATACAAGGAAATTGTTGAGTAGTTGCAGATTTGGCTTCTGCTAAAGTAGGGCTCAACTCCATAAGTAAGTAAGTAAGGAGAGACAGGAAATGATTGCAGAATTTTTGCTCCTAAACCTGAAACAAAAAGACTGTTCGTGAAATCTAGGCATATATAGAAATGTAGATTCAAGTGTATCCTATGACATCAGGACACTCTTATGTGGATTGGAATTACGTATCTCAGGATGTGGAAGAGTGTCGGGCTCTCGAGGACTCGATGTGGAACTTTCGGGTTTTTGAAAGGAAAGGAAATTCTTGAGAGATTTAGTGACTGTTAACTTCTCAAGGAGGGCCATGCTGTCTGGAGCTATTTTTTGACAAATTTCACATCTTAATAAGCTCACTTGTGAAGTACGGATTCGGTGTAAATCAAGGTACCATCTTTTAGTATGTTACGCCATGTAGTCCAGAGAATTTAAGCGTAGTTTCGGAGGAACGTAATTCCTGCCACTTCAGGTGCAAAGAGCGAACCTAGAAGTGTGCCAGAAGGAAGCACGAGATCCTCTTGGACCCAGAAGATGTAGGCTTTATGTTCCTAAGGGTGTTTGGTGAACTCCTACAGGACTGCATGCCGCTACATTCCAGAGGTCAGTATTTTGTACAGTCACCGCGGCGAGATTGTGAATCCAGTGAGGCGTGTGTAGTGAAGTATTGATTATTGGGTTATCTGACGGCGTCGGAGATACATTTTCTATACTGGATCCCTTCTGTTACCCCTAAGATCATAAAAGAAATTACGGTGCGTACGTCCCGTTGAAAGCCTCCACCTATAGGGAACAGGTATTAGGATTTACAGATTAAAATAATGAAAAAGAATTGTTATAAAATGTTAAACAGTTCCATCCAGTGTGACTGGTGAAGACTTTCCTTATTTCAATTTTTCCTGCACTTACATGTTCCGTTATTTAGAGACCATCATCAGAGGGACATCAATACAGTTTGAAACTACTATTACAATGTATGTTCTGAGCGTTAAAAAAATACATATAATTTTGATAATATAAGATCGGATAAAAAATCTAAAGATTTTTTACAATTACAGCGGCTGTCTTATTTCTTTTCTTTTGTAATTGATTTGTTAAGATTTTGTTAGAATTTATAAACCAAGTAGGTTAGTGTCCACTTTCTTATTACTTCGCTTGACGCGTGCTCAACGTGTGCCGCCTTGTCGATCTTGAGA